TTTATTGTCCATTGCTAATTGTGAATATCTTGGGCGGTGTGCTTCTGGAATCCTAGATTGTAAATGGTTGGGTTCCAGAGAGAGTTCCGTAGGGCACTAATTCATTTTGGGATTCAATTTGGCATCTCTAGATCAGGGATGTTGATGTGCTAAGAAGACATCCAGAGGCACATTGTGGGTGTGACAACCAGGCTGACAAGTGGGTGGGGACCCAGGGAGGAACAGCCCGGCGTCTCTGCCACCATGCGGCTTGGAGAGTCAGTCCTGAAACCCGCATACCTGGGCCTTGTTTGTGGAAGCTCTTGGTCTCTGGAATTCCATCTGGAGTAGGCAGGGAGATTGCACATGCTCCAACTGGGGTGCCCCAGTGAAATTGGCTCGGTATGGGGCCTGGAGAGTTCTCAGCCCTGTGGTGTTTTCCAGGACTCGCTGCTGTGTCTCTGGCTTTTGACCTCTTTTGAGATTTATTTATGAGTCTCTGAAGCAAGGCCAGTAACAGAGTTTACAGGGTGGTGCTGGAGTTGGTTCGTGGGGGTGACTGCCAGTGCTTCCATGTGTACTGGGAAGTGGGAGGAGGTAGCTAGCCCACCTCAACTCTGCGAAAAGTCTGGAGATTTCAGTCACAAAACCTGCATACCTGAATTTTCAGCAGATTATATCTTGGTGAGGTCTGTCCTGAGACGGTGGAGTCATACCCAGCAGTGCTCAGGGATTATCATGGTTCTACACTGAGGAATTACTCCTAGTGGGCTTGGGGGACCATGTGGGATGTTGAGGATTGAACTGGGATTGGCTGTGTGCAAGGCAAATACTTGACCCTGTACCATGGCTCCAGCCCCCGCCCCCCCCGCCCCTAAATAAAATCTTTTGTTGCTATTGGGCCACAGCCAGGGTGCTAAGTGGTTACTCCTGGCTCTGTGCTCAGGGATCACTCCTAGTCATATTTGGGGAACCATTTTCCAAAGCCCCTGCACTATCTCTCTGACCCACAATAGTCATTTTTAATTGTATTTATTAATTTTTGATATATATGCTTCTCGGAGAGCCCGGCAAGTTACTGAGAGTATCCCGCCCACATGAGCAGAGCCTGGCAAGCTCCCTGTGGAGTATTCAATATGCCAAAACCAGTAACAATCACTTGATCACTTGACTTCCCGTTAATCGTCGATTTGTTCGAGCAGGCACCACTAACGTCTCCATTTGTCCCTGTCGCGTGCTAGTGTAGCCCAATGGCATCTGTTCGTTCTAGGAACACAAAGAGCCTCAAACCGATCGTTCATGATCTTGATGAAGAAGTCGGACCATCTGGTAGGTGGGCAGCCACACGGTCTTTTGACATCCTGTGGAATCCAATAGGTAACAGCTCTAGTCCAGCGGTCGTCTCTAAATTTCATTACGTGACCAGCCCATCTGATTTTTGATGCCTTGACAAACGAGACAGCATCCCTAATTCTTGATCGTCGACAGAGGTCGGAACTCCGGATTCTTTCCCTCATTTGAGTGAAACGTAATATTCCAAGCATAGCTCTTTCAATTTCTCTTTGGGAGACCCGAATAGCATTCTCATCCTGTTTGCGTAGAGCCCAGGTCTCTGAGGTGTATGTTAATGCAGGAAGAACAGTGGAATCAAAGAGATGTGCCCGGAGCCGGAGGTTCTTCGTCCTCTTGAAGGGGTTTCTTCGACACTCTTGAAGGCGTTCCAAGCCACTCTCTTCCTGCGCAGCTCAGGCACTCCTGTTGATCATCGATTTGCTCGAGCGGGCCCAGTAACGTCTCCATTGGAGACTTTGTTGTTACTGTGTCTGGCATATCAAATACGTCACGGGGAGCTTGGCAGACTCTGCCGTGCGGGCGAGATACTCTCGGTAGCTTGTCGGACTCTCCGAGAGGGGCAGAGGAATCGAACTCGGGTTGGCCATGTTGGCTGCGTGCAAGGCAAACGCCCTACCGCTGTGCTATCGCTCTGGTTATTTGTCATGTTGACTTCTCGACCTAGGTACACATAACTATTGCATTCAGAGATGGTAGTTCCGTTGAGAGCGAATGGAGCATCAGGAACAAGGCTGTTTCTCATAAACGTTGTCTTCGTAAGATTCAGCTGTAGTCTGACTTTTCCACACTCACGGTCGAAGTTGGCCAGCATTTGTGCCGCTTGGCTAATGTTTGGTGTTATTGAAACAATGTCATCAGCAAAGCAGAGGTGGTGTAGTTGCCGACCATCTATCTTCACTCCCATTCCTTCCCATTCCAGTTGTCGCATGATGTTCTTGAGGGTGGCACTGAAGAGTGCCAAAACCAGTAACAATAACAGGTCTTATTCCCCTGACTCTTCATCGGGAAAGACAAGTAAGGAGAGGTTGCTAAAATCTCAGGGCTGGGATGAATAGAGACGTTACTGGCGCCCACTCGAGTAAATCGATGAACATTGGGATGGCAGTGATACAGTGATTAATTTTTGATGTGCCAGGGATTGAACTCAGGTTTTGTGCATACAAGGTCTGCACTTGATCATTGGGTCACATTGTCAGTTATTTTACTGTTTCTTTACTTCAGTTTTGGGGCCTCACCTGACTGTGTTCAGTGTTTACTCCTGGTTTTGTGCTTAGGAATCATTCCTGGTGGTGCTTGAGAGATCATATCTGATATTGAGGATTGAACCCAGATCAACCATGTACCCAGATCAATCAAGCACCTTACCTGCTGTACTGTCTGACCCAAGCGAGTTAGTTATTAAGTTTTGTTTTTTGGGTCACACACAGAAGTGCTCAGGGCTTACTCCTCGCTCTGCTCTCAGGAATCACTACAGGCAGTAATGATTGGGGCGGGGGAGGGGGGGCGGCAGGGGGAGGGTGTGTCACAAACTACTGCTACTGGGATCGAACCTGGGTTTTCATTGTACTATCTTTTCAGCACAAACCAACTTTTTTTTTTTTTTTTTTTAATTTATTTATTGAATCACTGTGGGAAAGGTTACAAAGCTTTCAGGTTTATGTCTCAGTCATGCAAATATCAAACACATTTCCCTTTACCAATACTTATTTTTTACCATGAAGAACCCCAATAAAACCCCACCCCCCACCCCTCCCCGTCCCTGTGAAGCAGATGAATTCTAGTTAACACTCTATCTGCTTTGATTAGATTCATTGTTTCAATAAAAGATTCACCACTATTATTTAGAGTTTACCCCCCCCCCCCAAATCAGACATGCTGAAAAAGCATTGTGAAGTGATTTGCTTTCTACGGCTGGGTTCAAGAATTAAATGTTGGTTTTGGATTTCTGCTCTTTTACCTATTGACCCTGGAAGTATTTCTACTGAAAGTCAGATAGTTAAGAAATTGGTTTCTGTGTTCTGGAGTCCTGGCCGTGCTGGAGAGCCGCTCGCGGGGGGCAACTGGTGGCCTCGGTAGGGCGTGAAGGGCGGACCGAAACGCCCCCCTTCCCATGAGGTTTTAGTCGCCCCCACACTCCCAGCTCATACCTGCTGTCCACAAGGCTCCCATGTGGCCGCCATCTTTCTTTCCAGAGAGGAGAGGGCGAATGGGGCAACACCCTTTCCCCTCCGGCAGACTTGATGGCCTGGATCAATGCATAGTCCGTTCACTTTTCTGCTCCAAGCTGCTGGGTTCTGCATTAAGTCCTTGTGCTTCTGGGGCCGTGGCCGTGCTGGAGAGCCGCTCGTGGGGGGCAACTGGTGACCTCGGTAGGGCGTGAAGGACGGACCAGAACGCCCCCCCTTCCCATGAGGTTTTAGTCGCCCCCACACCCCCGGCTCATACCTGCTGTCCACAAGGCTCCCATGTGGCCGCCATCTTTCTTTCCAGAGGGAGGAGGGCGGAAGGGAGCAACACCCTTTCCCCTCTGGGCAGAAATGATTGCCTGGATTAACGCATAGTCCTTTCACTTTTCTGCTCCAAGCTGCTGGGTTCTGCATTAAGCCCTTGTGCTTCTGGGGCTGTGGCCGTGCTGGAGAGCCGCTCGTGGGGGCAACTGGTGTCCTCGGTAGGGCGTGAAGGGCGGACCGAAACGCCCCCCTTCCCATGAGGTTTTAGTCGCCCCCACACTCCCGGCTCATACCTGCTGTCCACAAGGCTCCCATGTGGCCGCCATCTTTCTTTCCAGAGAGGAGAGGGCGAATGGGGCAACACCCTTTCCCCTCCGGCAGACTTGATGGCCTGGATCAATGCATAGTCCGTTCACTTTTCTGCTCCAAGCTGCTGGGTTCTGCATTAAGCCCTTGTGCTTCTGGGGCTGTCAAACCAACTTTTTAATCCAAGTTAGTTGTTATCTTATTAGTCAGATAGCCAGCTTTAAAAAAAAAAAACACCGTGAAAGATTTCCAGTGTACTGAAAAGATGTCCTCTCTGCACTTTCATGCTTTTTGGTCTGCATCTTCCAATTAAATTTCTTTGTTGCCTTAAAAAAAATCACCAGCATTTCTAAGACCAGATCTAGGTAGGTGAAAAACTAGGTCTGGGGACACATGCATGATATTATTATTATATAAAAGTTTAGCCTGTCCTGATTATCACAAAATCAGAACAGTGAGAATACTCAGATGCAGCCTTAATCATATCTCTGGAATGCCATTTGGGTTAGACCCTTATCCACTTCCCATCAACTCTATTATATGCCCTTCCAGAAGCACAATCAAATAAGACTTTATCATAAAATTATTATATCTGTTGGGACTGGAGCAATAGTACAGTAGGTAGGGCATTTGCCTTGCACACAGTCAACCGGGATGCGTTTCCCAGCATCCCATATGGTCCCCCAGTACCGCCAGGAGTAATTCCTGAGTGCATGAGCCAGGAGTAACCCCTGTGCATTGCCGGGTGTGACCCAAAAAAGCAAAATAAGAAAAAGAAAAAGAAAAAATTATTATATTTGTCCTAAAGTCCCCCTCCCAGGCTTGCTTTTATTTCACAGGGAGAGGACGCCCCACATTCTGTATTAGGTGGACAGAAGTATGTAAATCCACCCTTTCCTTTTTCTCTTTCAGGTCGGCTCCTACTTTGGGGCCTCCCTCTGCTCTGTGGATGTGAACAGAGATGGCAGCTCTGACCTGGTCCTCGTTGGGGCCCCCCACTACTATGAACAGACCCGAGGGGGGCAGGTGTCTGTGTGCCCCTTGCCACGGGGGGTGAGTGACTGCAGGACTAGGGGTGGATGGGGTCTGGGCATGAAGGGACAGTGTTGCCTGGGTGGAGGCTGACACTTCTTGTTTATCAGAGGGCTAGGTGGCAGTGTGAGGAAATTCTCCAAGGGATGCAGGGCCACCTTTGGGGCCGTTTTGGTGCAGCCCTGACAGTGCTGGGGGACGTGAATGGGGACAAGTTGATGGATGTGGCCATTGGGGCCCCAGGAGAAGAGGAGAACCAGGGTGCTGTCTACGTGTTTCACGGAACCTCGAACCTAAACATGAACCCCTCCTACAGTCAGGTAAGATTCCCCCATCACCAATCTGCTATAACAACACCCCCTTCTAAAAACATATCCCACAGTGGCCTGATGAATTCTACTGACACTTTTTTACAGAATTTTATTTATTTTTACTTATTTATTTATTTATTTATTTATTTTTGCTTTTTGGGTCACATCCAGAGATGCACAAGGGTTACTCCTGGATCTGCACTTAGGAATTATTTCTGGTGGTGCTCGGGGGACCATATGGGATGCTGGGAATCGAATCCGGGTCGGCCGCATGCAAGGCAAACACCCTACCTGCTGTGCTATCACTCCAGCCCCTCTAGGGATACTCTTCTACGGAACTTTACGGCTGGGAGATTGCTCCAAAAGTTGGAGCATAGCTTTGTGATTAGATCCCTAACACCACAGGGTTCCCTGAGCACCCCTGAGTGACCTCCAAACAAAACATATCCAAATTACACCAACAAATAAAAATGGACTTTTTCAACAACTCACCACACCACAAATTCTTCAGACTCCTCAATTATAGATGGATTCTCTAAAGGGCTCAGGGGCATTATTATCTGTATTTTCACGGAGGAGATGAAAGTTCAGACGTAGTCCGTCCTGGAAGTGCTGGAATGTAGTCATTTCTTTATTTTGAATGTCAGTCTTTGTAGGGTGACCAATGGTCTTGATTTTCCTTTTGTAAAAAATTTGCCATACCAGAGATGATCTGGGGTTATTCCTGAGTCTACACTCAGGACACACTCCTGGCAGTGCTCAGGATGCTGGGGGTCAAACACAGGTAGGCCACATGCAGGGAGGCACCTTACTTGCAGAACTATTGCTTCATCTCCTTGATTTTCCTTTTAGCATGAAAGTCTCACATGGCAGGAAACTCATAGGTACACCCTGCCAGGATGTATGCTTCATGAGCTTGAGACAAGCACTCACACCAGGCTCACTTTCTCTTGCCATCTTAATAATTTTTGAATTAATGAAGTTCTACTTCTTTGCACTGAATCCTGTAAGTTCTGTAACTGAGGCTGAAAGGTTGGTCACTTAATATTCTGGTCACCACAACAGGTTTCCTCTCTTGTTTCCTGGAGGATGGAGTCCACCGTTGGTTCTCTCTTCTAGATGCTGGACTCCAGCATTTTTCTTTTTCTCTCTTTTGAAATAGAAAAAAATAGAAAGGTTTATTGGAAAGTAGAAGGGAAAGGAAGGAAAATTCTCAACTGGGGAGAAACTAAGTTTGGACTCCAGTGTTTTTCCAGTATCACATTTTTCCTATGTCCATCAGACTCCTACCAATTCCTCATCTTATAAGTCCAAACCATTGAACAATTTAAAATCAACAGTTTTGTAAAAACAAAACAAAACAAAACACTGAAGGTTGGGATCTAATCAGTTTGGTTTGATCTACTCAGGCATTAGTAGAGTTATCTTAATATTTTATTTTGAAAAACTTCAAATTTACATCACAGTAAATGAACTCTACAGTGCACATTACATATTTACAATCTAGATTCTACAGTTAACTCTTTTGGAGGGGTGTTTTGGGGTTATGCCTGGAAGTTCTCAGGTGCTACTCGTAGCTCTGTGCTTAGATATCACTCCTGGTGGTGCTTTGGATTATCTGTAGAGTTGAGAATCAAGCTAGGATTGGCTGTATGCAAGGCAAGCACCTTAACCCTGTGCTACCTCTTTGGTCCCTACACTGTACATTTTATTAGATTCATTTCAACATTTTTTTTTTGCATTTTGCTTTTGGGTCACACCTGGAAGTGCTTAAGAACTATTTCTGGGTCTGTGGTTAGGGTTTGTTCCTGGCAACCATGTGGTGCCATGGACCAAACTCAGTTGGGACAACCTTTCCTTGGGTTATCCTAGGTGATGGTGTTCCAAAGGTTCCCATTCTTTCCCACTCCCTTCTCCTTCCCCTCTTTTGCCCTCAGCGAATCACAGGCTCCGACTTCTCTCCAAAACTCCAGTATTTTGGGCAATCACTGAGTGGGGGCCAGGACCTCACAATGGATGGACTGATGGATCTGGCTGTTGGGGCTCAGGGATATGCACTAGTGCTCAGGTGAGAACCTCTTTCAGAGCACAGTAGGTATTTTCCCTTTAAGGAGCAACTTCACTGAAGACTGTGGAATCTTGACAACTCTTTGGTGTTCCTTCAGGTCCCAGCCAGTTGTGAGAGTCCAGGTAACCATGGAGTTCACACCCAGGGAAGTGGCAAGAAAAGTATTTGAGTGTCGCGAACAAGAAGTGAGAGACCAGATTGCTGGGGAGGCCAGAGTCTGCCTCGAAGTCCGCAGGAAAACACAGGACCGCCTGGGAGGTGAGGTTGGGTTAAGAAACTTAAACTGCATGAATGGGGACTCAGAGTTGTCATCCCAGTTCTCAAAGCCAGCTTCTTTCTTTCTTTCTTTCTTTCTTTCTTTCTTTCTTTCTTTCTTTCTTTCTTTCTTTCTTGTTCTCCTTCTTCTTTTTCTCCTCCTCCTCCTCCTCCTCCTTCTCCTTCTCCTCCCTCTTCCTCCTCCCTCTGCTTCTCCTCCTCCTCCCACCCCTCCTCCTCCTCCACTTCCTCCTCTCCCTCCTCCTTCCTCATCTTCTTCCTCTTCTTTCTCTTCCTTTATCTCTTCCTCCTTTTATTTTTTTTTAAGTTTAACTCTTTTTTTTCCACACCCAGCTGTGTTTAGGGCTTACTCCTGGCTCTGTGCTCAGAGATCACTCCCGGCAGTGCTTGGGGCACCATATGTCGTGCTGGGTATTGAACCCAGATGGGCCATGTGCAAGGCAAGCTCCTTACCTGCTGTACTATCTTTTTGGTCCTTCTTTTCTTCTTTTTAATTAAACATCAGATGACTGATTGCAAGGGGACGTTGAGCTGATGAAGGTGCATACAAATTCACAAAGCATTCAGACATTATTACAACTGATTTTCTCCTTTATCTCTATTCTCAAACTGTAGCATTTTGTTTGGAGTTGGAGAATACGAGGAGCTGCATTAGAGAGATAAGATGCCCCCAAACTTACTCAGATATTCCTCTCAAGTTATTGGCTGACTTCTGAGCAATGTATGTTCAGATCATTACTTTAAGAAACTCAGTAGAAAGCAATGCCTAGTGTGCTAAAGAGTTGACATTTAGGATATTTTCAATGCTGGTTTGAGAAAGGCCTGATTTAAACAACATCACTCTAAATCAGGACCTGTAGCCAAGTAGACAAAATAAATAGACTTATAAGTGATTCAGAAATTAGAATTGTCAGAAGTTTTCTAAATATTCATAGTTAATGGCTTAAAATAAGAAGACAGACAGGAGCAAAAAAGGAATTCATAAAATAGTCAAGAAGAAATTGTACCATTTAAAATCTACCCTCACTGAAATAAAAAATTCAACAAACAAACTTAGTTGCAAAGTAGAAACAGGCCAGAGACTTAGTGACTTAGCTACTAAAGCTATTTAAAATACCCAGATTAACATACACAATAGACAGGATGAAATATACAGGGAAAAATCATGAGATTTTTTTTCTGACAGATACCAAAGACAAAAGAATTGAAAACAGAGAGAAAAATACTTTATTTTCTAACAGAATATAATTTATAGAGCAATTGAGATGGGCAGACAGCATGCAAAATGCCTTATAGATATAATTTCATTTCATTTTTACCATTGGCTGGGCTGGAGCGATAGCACAGCGGTAGGGCGTTTGCCTTGCATGCAACCAACATGGCCGACCCGAGTTCGATTCCTCCGCCCCTCTCGGAGAGCCCGGCAAGCTACTGAGAGTATTCGATATGCCAGACACAGTAACAACAAAGTCTCCAATGGAGACGTTACTGGGCCCGCTCGAGCAAATCGACGATCAACGGGAGGACCTTTACCTTTACCTTTACAGCTGGAGCGATAGCACAGTGGTAGGGCGTTTGTCTTGCACGCAGCCAACATGGCCAACCCGAGTTCGATTCCTCCGCCCCTCTCAGAGAGCCGGGCAAACTACCGAGAGTATCTCGCCCACACAGCAGAGCCTGGCAAGCTCCCCGTGACGTATTCGATATGCCAAACACAGTGACAACAAAGTCTCCAATGGAGACGTTACTGGGCCCGTCCTTGCAAATCGACGATCAACGGGAGGGCCTTTACTTTACTTTACTTTTACCATTGGCAAAGTACAATCAATATTTTCAATTAGGAAGTAAGGAATTGGTACTCGAAGAGGTAAGATGACAACATGCCCGATGTTATACAGCTGGGTAGCAGAGGTTCTGGGTCTCAGTTTCCTACCTGTCTAATTACAAAGTGGGCCACCTCCTCCTCTTGCTGCTCTCCCCCTCCAGGAGACATTCAGAGCATCCTCATCTATGACTTGGCTCTGGATCCAAGTCGCCCATTTCCTAGGGCTGTCTTTGAGAAGACTAAGAACAACACTTACAGACAGACAGAGACCTTGGGGCTGAATCAGAAATGTGAAGTGCTGAAGCTACAGTTACCGGTGAGCAGAAGCTGACCATGCCTCTGGCATTGCCAAGCATGTTGGGGGCTGGCGGGGAGGGAGGGCATGGAAAACTGAGGAGGGTTGACCACCAAACTCTTATTCTCTCTCAGAACTGTGTAGAAGACTCAGTGACCCCTATTGCCCTGCGCCTCAACTTTTCTCTAATGGGGAAGCCCCTGTCCTCCTTCGGGAACATCCGGCCAGTGCTGGCTATGGATGCTCAGAGATTCTTCATAGCCTTGGTGAGTCCCAGAATTAGGTCCTGCAGGGACGTGGAAAGGACCTGAAGCCAAGATTATTGAAGTTCATTTTATTTCTTTTCACATAAATTTTATTTCAATATTTTGTTTCACTTAAACTTGATTCATTGTTTCTTTTGATTTTTGTCCTCTATTCTCTTAGTTCCCCTTTGAGAAGAATTGTGGCAATGACAACATCTGCCAGGATGACCTCAGTATCACCTTCAGTTTCAGGAAGTGAGTTTCTCTTCCTCATACCTACCCCACTAACCTGGCGCTCTATTGCTCCCAGGCCAGGATTGGACACTCTCAAAGTGTCCACACCTCCTACACCCCACCCCCCCGCGAGTGCTTTTCAAGGGAGGCCTGTAATATCTCATCCCTTGTCCTTCACACAGCCTGAATGCTCTGGTAGTAGGTGGTTCCCGGGCCCTCAATGTGACGGTGACCGTGAGGAACGATGGTGAAGATTCCTACAGGACTCAGGTCACCTTCTTCTACCCACCCGGATTGTCCTATCGGATGGTGTCAGGAGCCCAGGTAGCCACAGCTGCCATCTGGTAGTGTTTCCCCTACTCCATGGCTGGCAGTTCATGTGACCTCCCTTGCCTTCTAGAATCCACGCTCACAGCGATCCTGGCGCCTGACCTGTGAGTCTGGTGTCTCCCCTGAGGAGTCTGAGGCCTTGAGAAGCAGCAGCTGCATCATCAACAACCCCATCTTCCCAGGCAACTCAGAGGTCGGAACCGTTAACTCCTCTTTTTCTCCTTTGGCATCTGACTTCTTTTTGAAAAGAAGAGTCTCCTTTCTTTGCAAAAATAACTTTATTGAGATATTATTATACAGCAGATGCTTCAGAATTTAAAGTACGCTCACAGAGTTTTACTTTCATTACCATGCTCATTTAGAGTATTTTATTACTCCAAGAAAATACCCCTCTTCCCTTAGTCATAATCTTTAAGCTTTCCCTGCTCCTAACCCGTAGAAGCCATTAAGCCATTTTCTCACTGAATCTGCTTATTCTGGACATTTCATGTAAATAGAGACATGTATGTGATTCTATGATACTGGACTCTCTCACTTAGCATGATATTTTCAAGGCCATCTATGTTACAGCTATGCTAGTGTTTTATTTCTTTTTCACTGCTAAATAATTGTGCTGTAAATATGCACCAAATATATATGTATATATATTAAAGAACTGTGATTTACAAAGTTATTAATAGTTGAGTTTTAGGCATATAATATTTCAATACCATTCCCACCACAGTGTCAACTTCCCTCCACTAGTTTTCTCATCTTCCCTCCTCACCCTTAGCCTTGCCCCATCCCTGCCTGTCAACTTGACAGGTACATTACAAAGTTTCAGTGGTTGCAGCTCAGATCTCATGTTTTCAGTGTTGTTGAGTTTGTGTTTCGGATATATGGCTATGCCACTCTCCTATATCACCAGTATAACTGAAGCCTGGATGCCAGCTCACTGAGTACTTCTGATCTCTTCTTTCCTCCTTGATTTCTTTCCTTCTCTGTCTTCCTCCTCTCTAAACACTGGGATCAAGGATGACCTGGGCAGGATATATTTCCGTATTTTAATGATCTGTTCTGCAGTTGATGGACATTTGGGCTGTTTCTTTCTTTCTTTCTTTTTTCTCTTTTTGGGTCACACCCGACAATGCTCAGGGGTTACTTCTGGCTCATGCACTCAGGAATTACTCCTAGAGGTGTTCGGGGGATGATATGGGATGTTGGGAATCGAACCTGAGTCAGCCGGGTGCAAGGCAAATGCCCTACCCACTGTGCTATTGCTCCAGCCCCTGGGCTGTTTCTTTTCTCACACTCTTGTCACCTGTCTGTTCACTTTTCAACTCCAGGTCACCTTTAACATTACATTTGATGTGGACTCTGATGCTTCCCTCGGAAAGAGACTTCTTCTTAAGGCCAACGTGACCAGGTGAACTGTGTCTGACTCCCCCACCCCACCCGCAGGCATTCTCCCCTTTGAGGCCCTAAAAACTCCGGTCCAGGGTGGACCTTAGCTGTCATTCCTCTGTTTCTATCATCAGCACATTCATTTATTCATTCATTCATTCACCATATTTTATGAGACAGATATGGACCGCTGTGACTACAGACCACAGGAAGTTATAACTTCATGCAAAGAAAGACAGGAAACCTGATGATTACAGTACAGTGTGAAATAAGCTATAGTCAGTGTTCCTCTGAGCATCCTATTCAGAAAAGTTCCTGAAGAAAAATATTTAGTCCAGGATTTAGTCAAGCAAAGGCATGGAAAAAGAGTGGGTATGAAGACAGAAAGGAAGAAGTGTATACCTAGCAAAGCCTGGAGATTGGGATAAATTTAAGAGTGGCCTGTGAAAAGTGTTGGGGAATTGGTTAGCTATAGGCCATGTTATGAGATGACTGCTGAGTACCACTAGGACATTAGCAACTTAACTTGAGAGAGACACGGTCATGTTTTCCTACTGGAACAATCACTTCAGGAGAGTTGGGAAGAAGAAGAGTGGGTCAGGTTGAAATTTGGAAACCAGTGAGAAGAAGGCCCAGGTGAGTTGGATGAGCCTGGGTTCTGCAGACAGAAGGGAGAGAGCAGTGTATAAGGAACAGAGGTACTGAACTTGGTGACTGGTTGGAAGTGAGGGAGGCAGAGAAGGAGAAGGAAAGCCTGAGTCTTAATTCTTAAGATCTGACAAGAACCTTCTGTTTCCCTTCAGTGAAAACAACATGCCCGGGACCAACAAAACGGAATTCCAGTTGGCACTGCCTGTGAAATATGCAGTCTACATGGTGGTCACCAGGTGGGACTTCTGGGCTTCCACCCAGTCCTCCTCCCTCAGTTTGACATGGTTTGTTGAGCTCTTGTGTCGGTGAATCTGTACGTGTATGCTTGAATCCTCGTGTGTACCATGTTCCTGTATGTGGTTTGACATGTGTGGTACAAATTGGCGCACACTGTGAGTCTGACACAAATCAGCCCTGCACCCTGCTCTGCTCCTCCTTCTCGGACTTCCCAAGAACCTCTTCCGGGACGCCACTGATGCCCTGTCACCTCTTGCCTCTTTTTCCTCTTCTCAGCCATGAAGCCTCCACTAAATATTTCAACTTTACCACTTCAGAGAAAACAAGCAAGTTCATAAAGCATCAGTACCAGGTGGGGAGATAAAAGGAGGCTTGAGAGGGAGAAGAATGTGATGGGAATCCGGTGATGAGCATGGGAAACATCCATCCAGGGCCTCCCGGGTGCCCTACTCCATTAGTGCTCACACTGGCCAGATTCACTTACAGACACACGTGTAATTGCACACAACTTCCTTGTTCTTCATAATGACTCTATGATGAAGGTACTACCAGGGTTCAGAGTAGCTAACAAGATGTGTCATGGTCTCATGGGAAGAAGAGCCACTTCTGAGACCAGCCTGCCTGAAGCACCAAGAGGTGATTGCGTGGGTAGGGGTCCTTACGCAGGAGGGCAATAATAATAATAATTATTATTATTATTATTTTGCTTTTTGGGTCATACCTGGAGAGCCTGGCAAGCTACCGAGAGTATCTCACCCACACGGCAAAGCCTGGCAAGCTCCCCATGAAGTATTCAATATGCCCAACACAGTAACAATTGTCACAATAGAGACGTTACTGGGCCCGCTCGAGCAAATCGATGAACAATGGGAGGGCAGTGGCAGGGACAGTGACCCGGCAATGCACAGGGCTTACTCTTGGCTCATGCATTCAGGAATTATTTTTTTTTTCTGGCAGTGCTTGGGGGGACCATATGGCATGCTGGGAATCGAACCCGTATCAGCCACGTGCAAGGCAAACGCCCTAACTACTGTGCTATCACTCCGGTCCCACGACCTCATTCTTATGGCTAGTGGGGGTCTAGTTAGACCCTGACGGTCTTCCCTCCTACCTCTCACGTTGCAGTTCAACAATCTGGGCCATCGGAGCCTCCCTGTCAGTGTTATCTTCTGGGTCCCTGTTCAGCTGGACCAGGCAACAGTGTGGAAAAACCTCCAAGTTACCTTCTCCCCGGTAAGACCTGTAGGTCTGAGGAAGGGACCCAGCTCTTCCCTCCACAGTCTGTTTTTTCTCAACAAAGCCCTGTCTTTCTCCATTGTTGGATTTTTGAGGCATCTCTGATGCGCTGCTGGGCCTTTCCAGGCCGTCTGACTGCCCACAGGCTTCTCGGTCCTCACTGTGTCTCTTTCCTCAGGACATCAACAGGAAGTGCTACACTAAGCAGAATGCCCCACCTCACTCTGGCTTTCTGGCAGAGCTTAAAAGGACCCCAGTGCTGGTGAGACAATCCTGATGCCCAACCACAGGGCCAAAGGCAGGGCTGGCTCAGTGCCCTTCATGCTACCCGGTGCTGCCTGAGCCACTGAGTCTTGGGCTGCTTGTGCCCCCAACTCTCTCCCCCTCCCCTCTTCCCCAGAACTGCTCCATTGCTGTCTGCCACAGAATCCAGTGTGACATTCAGTCCTTTGGTGTCCAGGAAGAATTCACCGTCACTCTCAATGGCAGCCTCTCGTTTGATTGGTATATCAAGGTAATGCCCCTGTGTTCTGGGAGCGCACAGGATGGAGGGGAGGGAGCGCTTCAGGATGGAGGCCCAGTTCCATGCTCTTTCTTCTGCAGACTTCTCACGACTACCTTCAGCTTGTGAGCACGGCGGAGATTTCCTTTGATGAATCCTCTTTTGCCCTGCAGCCAGGACAGGAAGCATTTGCGAAGACCCAGGTAGGTAACTGACTGGACACAGAGTTTGTTAGTATTGGAAGGAAAAGGAGGAGGTTGGGCACGTGCAGATGTGAGGGTTTATGGTGAGGACTGGAGGAGGGGGTCATGGGGAGGAAATAGGCATGAGTTATGAGTGCAGGGAGTGTACGAGGTCCACCTGAAATGCTGGAATGCCCCCCCCCCCCGCCCGGCCCAATTCTGAGTCTGTGTTCCCTGATGCATTACCTCTCTCTCTTCTACCCCAGATACAGACCAAAGTGGAGCCGTATGAAGTGCATGACCCTGTCCCACTTATTGTGGGCAGCTCAGTGGGGGGCCTGGTGCTCCTGGCCCTCATCACTGCTGGACTGTACAAGGTAGTTCTTGTAGCCCTCCCTGTGTGCTCCCCACTATCTTCTGCACTTCCCGCTCGGCAGGTCCCTCATTGGTTAAATTCCAGCAGTGCTGCAGGATCTTGGGAAAGAGCCTCTTTAGGCTTGAACTTCTTTCTTTCTTTCTCTCTTTCTCTCTTTCTTTCTTTCTTTCTTTCTTTCTTTCTTTCTTTCTTTCTTTCACTTTTTTTTTACTCCTGGCTCTGCACTCAGGAATTACTCCCGGTGGTGCTCAGGGGATCATATGGGATGCTAGGAATTGAACCTGGGTCGGCCACGTGCAAGGCAAACCCCTTACTCGCTTGCTATCACTCCAGCCCCCATGCCTGATTTTTTTCAGTTGTAAGTGGAATTGCTCACACCCATTTTATGAAGGCAACTGAATGAATTTTTGGAAGCACTGACAAGTTACTACTTATTCCTTCCTTCCCTTTCCTCTCCTCTCCTGTCCTTCCCCCTCCCCTTCCCCCCCCCCCCACACACACCTCCCCTTTCCTGCCTGTTCGTTTTCTTTGCTGGTTTCAATATTGATGCCATCTCCCTCCCCGCTCCACTCCCCCATGTCTTTTTTACTTTCACATTATTCTTTGCATCTCTTGATTCACTGTTCCCCATTCCTGGTCTCATGACTCTTTGCCTGCCCCCGGCTTTGGTGGCCCTTATTCCTCCCTCTCTGCCCCCACAGCTTGGCTTCTTCAAGAGACAGTACAAGGACATGATGAATGAAGCTGGTTCCGAAGCTGCCCCGCCTCAGGGCAGCGAACCGGATTTTAGTTAGAAGCTTGCAGGACTGCAAGCGCTGAATGGACATTGTACATTAGAAGACCGAGGAGGAGGCGTTTCACTCAGAAAAGACCTGCAAGACCTGCTTGGGACTTCATTCATCGGGGTGTGTGTGTGTGTGTGTGTGTGTGTGTGTGTGTGTGTGTGTGTGTGTGTGTTATCTCTGGCACAGCGACAAGTGCCTGCACCAAACGTCTTAGGCAGAGGGGACTTACTGGCACTTCCTTGAGTCTGGGCAAAGGCGCCTTTTCTGCAGCTCTTGTCAGAAGCTGTCCTAGGAAGTGTAACAACTCCTCTTCCTGATGAAGAAAGTGAGAGCTCCCTCTGTGGGCAAGTGGGTAGAGCTGCAAGGGTCTCTGTGGCTGAAAGAGCCTGTGTGGAGTAGAAGCTAGAACCAGGAGCCGGGCAGCTGATGACACCCTGACCAGACCATTCCGCGCTACAGCATTCATTTTTTTTTTAAATAGAAAGATAGGTTCATAATATCGCTTCTATCACTTGTCATCCCGTTGCTCATCGATTTTCTCTAGCGGGCTCCAGTAACATCTCCATTCATCCCTGTCGCCTGCTAGTGTAGCCCAATGGCGTCTGCTCGCTCCATGAACATGAAGAGCATCAAACCGCTCATAGTATAAAGATAAAAGATGTGTATGGGTTTGGCGAACCCTCCCATGGCTCTTTGGATCCTTCTCAAAGGGCAGTCAGGCAAGGCTGTGTGTCTTTGGAGTCTCCTTCACAGTCTAGGCCTATGCAAGCACACACACACACACACACACACACACACACACCTGATCATCCGAATGGTAATATTCACTATTTATGCTGTTACACCTCTTTTTTTTTCTCATCAAGTGCAGAAATTGCCTCACATGAACACATTAGTACTTTTTATTTCTTAATACTGCTTCATAATGTTGTGTCTCATTTTACTATACTCCTTACAACTTTTGGCTATTAAAATGGCAAATTAAATTAAATATATATTTTTCTGTTGTAAAAGATCATTGTCATTGTCACTGTCCTCCCGTTGTTCATCAATTTGCTCGAGCGCGCCCAGTAACGTCTCCATTGTGACAATTGCTACTGTGTTTGGCAAATCGAATATGTCACGGGGAGCTTGCCAGCCGTGCGAGATACTCTCGGTAGCTTGCCGGGCTCTCCGAGAGCGGTGGAGGGATCGAACTCGGGTCGTGCAGGATATAACCTTAGGAGTCTGTGTGAAATAAGTTTATTGGAGATCAGTCCCAGCACCTAGTCACGTGGCTTTCCATTTAGGCGCTCTGAGTTTGATCCCTGTCACTGTACGGTCCCTCTAAACACTACAGGAGTAAACTCTGATCTGGGATTAGCCTCCAGCCCATCAGTGTGCCCCTCCCACTTCAAAAGAACATCGGTAATAACATAAAACTAGTAAGAGAAGAGCAGCCTCAGGAAGTTCAAGTAGGGGAGGGATGGAATCTGCAAAAAGGAAGAGAAAGTGTGGGAGGGTGCAGAGCCACCACTGTGTGCCTCCAGAGAACAGTCCATTGAGAATTCCGGGGGACAGAAGCCCACCTCAGTGTGTGCAGTGGAGGAGATGAGCAGCTTGGGTATGTGTCCATCGCTTCCATAGACCGCTGCCAGAGACATGCTCTTACTGGAGAGGAGGACATTCACTTTGCGGCACTTGTGTTTGCCTTGCGTGTGGACAGAATGGGATCTCCTGGCTAGAGAAGGGACCTGCTAGCAGGAAGTTTGACTGGTGAGTTCAGCCCCTGACAAGGTCCCAGTGACCCAGGAAGGGCCATGCTAACACTTGTTCCTGGGACTTGTACAGGTAAGCTTGAGAGCTGTGTCCAGTGGGCATTCCTAGGAGAGGGAGAGTTGTCTCTGGTAGGCATTCTCCCAAGGAAATAAAAGACTCACAGTGTCCTTCTGGAGACTTCTGCCATCTATTATTCCCTGCCCGCACACCCCTCCTAATTCTTGCTGGATGATCATTACTGCCTAGTTAATAGTATTTCACTTATAAGAAAGTGAGACTAAAAATGATCAAACCAGTTATCAAGGTTGTTCAGGGATGAAGGGAATGGAGATGGGATTCATAACCCACCAGGTCAGACTCTTACACTATCCTGATGGCCTCATAGAAGTGGCCGTACAGCAGGCAGGAGAAGGGTATGGGGAGAGGGTGACTGTTATGCTGTTGTTATACTAGGTGAACTATTGACATTTCTGAGATGTTTGTTAACAAAGTGACCACTGTCACTGTCACTGTCCTCCTGTTGTTCATCGGTTTGCTCGAGCGGGCCCAGTAACGTCTCCATTGTGACACTTGTTACTGTGTTTGGCATATCAAATACGCCACGGGTAGCTTGCCAGGCTTTGCCATGCGGGTGAGATACTCTTGGTAGCTTGCCAGGCTCTCTGAGAGGGGCAGAGGAATCAAATCTGGGTTGGCCAGGTCAGCCGCGTGCAAGGCAAACGCCCTACCCGCTGTGCTATTGCTCCAACCCAATAAAATGACCATTTGGGGGAATTCATTGCAACAAAGAAACCATGTTTGGTTGGATGTCTGTTCCAGATATGATAAGAATGGAGGAGCTAGGTGGAGGAAGAGTTCTAAGAGTTAGTAGTGAGCGCATGCTTCGTATGTGTGAGGCCCAATTTGATCACCAACACTACATGGTCCCTTACTTACTGTTGGGAGTGAGATTGGACAAAACTTTCAGGCATCTGTCTGTCGCTCAAGAAATGGAAAGCGGGGGTGGGGTGGGGAGGAGGGAGGGTCCAGCAATGGAAGGGACAGAATATTTCTAGCAGATGTAGTACAGGTAAGTCTAGAAGTGCAATAGGAATCTGGCATTAGTGTTTGTAAGCCACAGTGAGGCATTTATATTAAAAAAAAGTGCAATGATAATGAGGTAACAACTCATGTCTCTGGGGTGCCACAACTCAGCACCTATAGATGATCCTCTCACATAATTTCCTCTCCTGACATTAAAATTCACCGAAAATGTCCTTTTCCTTCCTTAAGTTGAAAGAGAGAAGAAGACCTCAATATCTCCACTAGTCCTTAAATAACCCAGGGGAAACTGCCAGTAGTTGGATTCTCCTGACCTTGGCTGGGCACTTAAGGTCCCATGGGCTTCAAGATTACATTGGTGTCTTTAGGCTTGGAGTTTGTGCTGAATTCAGCCTGATGGGATTGTTTTGATAGGTTACAAAGTAAATCATTTCTAGTGACAAATGACCTTACTGTGACCATAAAGTTACTGATAAACAGGACAATAAATCTCTAGTTAAAAGCAACTGAATCCAGTCAAGTCTGCCCATGTTTTACTTTGCGAAGTCCTTGCTTCAGAATAAGGCATACTCCTTCAATATCCTTCCTCCCTTTCTTAATTAATAAAAGTGGTCTTATCAGGATCACCATGGCCTAGAATTATCATTGTGAACCCCAATGAACTGTGTCTCGTTGCCTCTCTTTTGCACATGATATCCTGCACCTCCTATTTCACTGCCCACTTGATTTTATTTATTTATTTTACTTTTTACAATCAAATATTTTGATATAACTCTCTTGATTTTAATGTCACTGAAGGAATGTTGTCTGAGTTCTGAAATCTGGCCCTGAAGTATTGCAGTTTCTGTGTTTGTCTACCACAGAACTTTGAGGTCTCTTACCAGCAGCCATCTAGCACACTGGAAAAGGACCAGTCCCAGTAGGAAACATTTGAGCTCCCTGAGCTCTAGCCAATAATATTTCAACCCACTATATATATATTTTTTTTTTTTCTTTTTGGGTAACACCTGTGTGATGCACTGGGTTACTCCTGGCTCATACACTCAGGAATTACTCCTGGCAGTGCTTGGGGGACCATATGGGATGCTGGGAATCGAACCCGGGTCAACTGCGTGCAAGGCAAATGCCCTACCCGCTGTGCTATTGCTCCAGCTTCAACCCACTGTATTTTGTAGTAGTTATGCTTCAGTGGATAACAAATCTAGTCACCCAGGTAAAGAGTAGATTTTCCAATCTCCTTTGCTGCCAGTATTGGCCATGTAACAGGCTCTGACCAATGGGATGTAAGAAGAATGTATGAACAACTTCTTTGAGAGATGGCATGGCCTGCCTTTCTCCTTACCTCTCTTTGCTACTCTCTTTACTCTGGAGAAGCCTGTGTTCTCCTTTGAGTGCGTAGCTTCTTCCTCTCCCTTTGTTTCCCAAACAAACTTAAATCTCTTCACTATACCTCTCATTTCTAGAAGTCTCTTCTGTGAGGGTAGGTGATGGACCTGAGCAGAGGTCAGCACTAGTTTTTCCTTAATTTTTTTTTGACTGGGGCAGAGGTTAGGACTAACTTTTCCTTTCTACAAAGAACAAGTCTTGGCTCCAGATTGAGTTCTACAGTTCCCCAGGGATTTGGGTAGGAGGGGTTCATCTCTGCACTATGAAAGTAAAGTGGAACTTAGGCACAGTGTGACAAGAGCCTAGTGGAGCTGGTGGGATGCAAGGATCTGTCCATGTTGTGCAAGTGCTCCAGGAAGACTTTATTTGTGCTGACTCTCTTGGGCACTACTCTGGGTGACTGAGGTGGAAGAAGACAAAGTCGGTTGAACATTTTCTTGAGGCTCTTACCTCTATTCTTCCCACTTCACCAAAGTCATCTGCAACATTGGTATTCTGAGCCTTGATCGAGCAGCTGCCCCTGTGTTGTAACAAGTACCACTGGCACTGGCACTGTACTGTCCTCTCGTTGTTCATCAATTTGCTCGAGCGGGCCCAGTAACATCTCCATTGTGACAATTGTTACTGTGTTTGGCATATCAAATACACCACGGGGAACTTGCCAGGCTTTGCTGTGCGGGCGAGATACTCTCGGTAGCTTGCCGGGCTCTCCGAGAGGGGCGGAGGAATAGAACTTGGGTTGACCATGTTGGCCTCTTGCAAGGAAAATGCCCTACCCGCTGTGCTATCGCTCCAGCCCACAAATACCACAATCTTCCTAAACGTTTTGTTTTTCTACTGGGCCTTAGAAACTGTATTGTGGTAAAGCCTGAAGGCTCTTGATGCAATCTTACCCAACTCCAGAACTTTATTCTCATGCTTAAGAAATCTCACAAGGGGCTAAGAGCGAGAGCACAGCAGATAGGGTGTTTACCTTGCATGCGGCTGACCGGGGTTCAATTCCCAGCATCCCATATGGTCCCCTGAGCACTGCCAGGATTCCTGAGTGCAGAGCCAGGAGTATAACCCCTGTACATCACCGGGTGTGACCCCGAAAGAAAAAAAAATTCACAATATCCCTTGTGTCTGAAGGGAGGAGCTACAAGTGTTTCCTTATAGTTAGGCTTCAGCTGTGTGGTCTCCATCTGTAGGATCTTTTTTATGTGCCCACTTGGATTTCTCTACAAGGAATATTATGGCCAGGAGGCCCTTATTTTATCCCTGCTGGTGGCAGAATTATCTGATAGAAAAATAAACTGAGCTGTTTCTCCTGTAGATCCATGAGGCAGAGGAATATATTACAAATACATCTTTTTATCTATCCTGAGAGTTTACCCAGAGATATGCCTTGATGTGTGAATATTTCCCTCCCCCAGAAAAGCTCATAGGCATTACTAATTTATTTAAAATCCTTAGCTCTTAATCAGGTGAATTATAGCTAAAATAATTTTATAAGAGATTTTTAGCTGCCAATCTTTGGACTAAATTAGCCCCCAGGTTTTCTTTTGAAATGCAGGTAATATATTTCAAAGAAACATTTAAAAAAAATAAGGAATATTGGGAACGATTAATAGCCACAGAACAAATCAGTAAGTTCAAAGATGGGTTTGGATTTTTTTTTTGTAAAGTTCTACCAGTGCCTTATGTATCTTTGATATTAGCCCCTTATCAGATGGATATTGGGTAAACCACTTTTGTGGGCTGTCTTTGTATCTCGGTCACTATTTCTTTTGTGGTACAGAAGCTTCTTAGTTTAATGTAGTCCCA